ACCCGGCTCTCCGATTCCTCAATCCGAGCCGCTATCCATTACTCCACCGCAAATTATTACATTAAGTACGGTTAATGCCCTCATCTTTTATTATTACAAAGGTTTCAACCATTTTACCATCTGGTCTTCTTCCGGTGTCGATCCGGGTAACTATCAGAGATCTGGCTCCTTTGTTTACTCTGCGGCCACAGATGGTTTTCGTTCCACTCTTCATATCTTGTAAATAATGATAACTCTTCATTCAAGAAAATCAGATAAAAAAAAATTCTATTTTTATTTCAGGATTTTTCTAGAGATTGCGTGGTCCCGTCCTCTTTCGTTATTTCATAGCTGTAACCTTCAAAATTTAAACAGCTAATTTTTAACTGTAATTTTGAAATTATGACAATTGAAGCTTATAGCAGCTATGTATTTATATTCTTACTAGGTTTTGATATTTTTATAAGATTAGCTTCGTACGTAAAAAAAACTCTTCTGAAGGGGAAGTCGAGTCAGAATCGGAGAGTTTGTTGATGTTGAGAAAATAGCATTCTTATCCGAGCTCGACCATCAACACCGGCGGAAAAGACGTAACTATTGTAACCTTGTTATTCACGGTTTCGATTTCTGAGGTTTCACTTAGCCGCCATAAATCCCAGAAATGAACAATTCAAAAAGGGTGACAGAACTAATTTCAGCTCTATTTAAAAACCTGTTGTAGAGTAGTTTTCACAGTGGAGGCTTGTATTTCAATAAGTCGTCCTAAATTAGGTTCAACGTACAAAACGTTAGGAACTTGAAATAAGAGATAATGACGCAGCAATCTAGTTGTGATGGTTGATACTTCACTGTCCGACATCGACTGACTCGCTCAACACCACTGGGTATTTATCTTATCACCCACGGGAAAAGAATATGGCACAAGGCCGGTTTTAATGTGGGTTTCCCCGAGCCCGTAGGCTCGGCCAAAAAAATAGCCTTTTGAAGCCGATTATACGGGTTCAGGCCCTGTCTACCTCCCCGGACGAAACCTTGCCCTTCGGCAAAGCCTCGTCCGGGTCCCTCTCTGCTTACGCAGAGAGTTCGACAGGAGGCGTGTGCAGTCAAAGACCGCGGGACGCCACTGAGTATTTATCTTCTCACCCACGGAAAAGAATATGGCACAAGGCCGGTTTTTTATGTGGGTTTTCCTGAGCCCGTAAGCTCGGCCCAAAATATAGCCTTTTGAAGCCGATTAAACGGGTTCAGGCCTGTCTACCTCCCGGACGAAACCTTGCCCTTCGGCAAAGCTTCGTCGGGTTCTCTTCGCTTACGCAGAGAGTTCGACAGGAGGCGTACGCAGTCAAAGACCGCGGGACGCCACTGAGTATTTATCTTCTCACCCACGGAAAAGAATATGGCACAAGGCCGGTTTTTATGTGGGTTTTCCCGAGCCCGTAGGCTCGGCCAAAAAATATAGCCTTTTGAAGCCGATTAAACGGGTTCAGGGCCCTGTCTACCTCCCCGGACGAAACCTTGCCCTTCGGCAAAGCCTCGTCGGGTCCCTCTCGCTTACGCAGAGAGTTCGACAGGAGGCGTGTGCAGTCAAAGACCGCGGGACGCCACTGAGTATTTATCTTCTCACCCACGGAAAAAGAATATGGCACAAGGCCGGTTTTTATGTGGGTTTTCCCGAGCCCGTAAGCTCGGCCAAAAATATAGCCTTTTGAAGCCGATTATACGGGTTCAGGCCCTGTCTACCTCCCCGGACGAAACCTTGCCCTTCGGCAAAGCTTCGTCGGGTTCCTCTTCTGCTTACGCAGAGAGTTCGACAGGAGGCGTGCGCAGTCAAAGACCGCGGGACGCCACTGAGTATTTATCTTCTCACCCACGGAAAAGAATATGGCACAAGGCCGGTTTTATGTGGGTTTTCCTGAGCCCGTAGGCTCGGCCAAAAAAAATAGCCTTTTGAAGCCGATTAAACGGGTTCAGGCACCTGTCCACCTCCCGGACGAAACCTTGCCCTTCGGCAAAGCTTCGTCCGGGTTCCCTCTACTAACGCAGAGAGTTCGACAGGAGGCGTGTGCAGTCAAAGACCGCGGACGCCACTGAGTATTTATCTTTTCACCCACGGAAAAGAATATGGCACAAGGCCGGTTTTTATGTGGGTTTTCCCGAGCCCGTAGGCTCGGCAAAAAAAAAAATAGCCTTTTTGAAGCCGATTAAACGGGTTCAGGCCTATCCACCTCCCCGGACGAAACCTTGCCCTTCGGCAAAGCTTCGTCCGGGTTCCTCCTACTAACGCAGAGAGTTCGACAGGAGGCGTGTGCAGTCAAAGACCGCGGGACGCCACTGAGTATTTATCTTCTCACCCACGGAAAAGAATATGGCACAAGGCCGGTTTTTATGTGGGTTTTCCCGAGCCGTAAGCTCGGCCCAAAATATAGCCTTTTGAAGCCGATTAAACGGGTTCAGGCCTGTCTACCTCCCGGACGAAACCTTGCCCTTCGGCAAAGCTTCGTCCGGGTTCCCTCGCTTACGCAGAGAGTTCGACAGGAGGCGTGTGCAGTCAAAGACCGCGGGACGCCACTGAGTATTTATCTTCTCACCCACGGAAAAGAATATGGCACAAGGACGGTTTTTATGTGGGTTTTCCTGAGGCCGTAAGCTCGGCCCAAAATATAGCCTTTTGAAGCCGATTAAACGGGTTCAGGCCCTGTCCACCTCCCGGACGAAACCTTGCCCTTCGGCAAAGCTTCGTCCGGGTTCTCTACTAACGCAGAGAGTTCGACAGGAGGCGTGTGCAGTCAAAAGACCGCGGGACGCCACTGAGTATTTATCTTCTCACCCACGGAAAGAATATGGCACAAGGCCGGTTTTATGTGGGTTTTCCCGAGCCCGTAAGCTCGGCCCAAAATATAGCCTTTTGAAGCCGATTAAACGGGTTCAGGCCTATCTACCTCCCCGGACGACGAAACCTTGCCCTTCGGCAAAGCTTCGTCGGGTTCCCTCGCTTACGCAGAGAGTTCGACAGGAGGCGTGTGCAGTCAAAGACCGCGGGACGCCACTGAGTATTTATCTTCTCACCCACGGAAAAGAATATGGCACAAGGCCGGTTTTTATGTGGGTTTTCCCGAGCCCGTAAGCTCGGCCCAAAATATAGCCTTTTGAAGCCGATTAAACGGGTTCAGGCCCTGTCCACCTCCCCGGACGAAACCTTGCCCTTCGGCAAAGCTTCGTCCGGGTTCCTCTCTACTAACGCAGAGAGTTCGACAGGAGGCGTGTGCAGTCAAAGACCGCGGGACGCCACTGAGTATTTATCTTTTCACCCACGGAAAAGAATATGGCACAAGGCCGGTTTTTATGTGGGTTTCCCCGAGCCCGTAGGCTCGGCCAAAAAAATAGCCTTTTGAAGCCGATTAGACGGGTTCAGGCCCTGTCTACCTCCCCGGACGAAACCTTGCCCTTCGGCAAAGCTTCGTCCGGGTTCCTCTCTGCTTACGCAGAGAGGTCGACAGGAGGCGTGTGCAGTCAAAGACCGCGGGACGCCACTTAGTATTTATCTTTTCACCCACAGGAAAAGAATATGGCACAAGGCCGGTTTTTTATGTGGGTTTTCCCGAGCCCGTAGGCTCGGCCAAAAATATAGCCTTTTGAAGCCGATTAAACGGGTTCAGGCCCTGTCCACCTCCCCGGACGAAACCTTTGCCCTTCGGCAAAGCTTCGTCCGGGTTCCTCTGCTAATGCAGAGTTCGACAGGAGGCGTGTCCAGTCAAAGACCGCGGGACGCCACTGGTATTTATCTTTTCACCCACGGAAAAGAATATGGCACAAGGCCGGTTTTTATGTGGGTTTTCCTGAGCCCGTAGGCTCGGCAAAAAATATAGCCTTTTTGAAGCCGATTAAACGGGTTCAGGCCTGTCCACCTCCCGGACGAAACTTTGCCCTTCGGCAAAGCTTCGTCAGGTTCTGCTTACGCAGAGAGTTCGACAGGAGCGTGTGCAGTCAAAGACCGCGGGACGCCACTGAGTATTTATCTTTTCACCCACGGAAAAAATATGGCACAAAAGGAGTATATATATATATATATATATATATATATTATATTACAAATATATATATATATATATATATATTACATTACAAATATATATATATATATATATATTACATTACAAATATATATATATATATATATATATATTACATTACAAATATATATATATATATATATTACATTACAAATATATATATATATATATATATATATTACAAATAAATATATATATATATATATATATATATATATATATATATATATATATTACATTACAAATAGTTGTATATTTAGGCAGCAATCCTTTCTTTATACATGTTTCATTAAAAACGAAGGACAAGGTACTACGGTTAAGCTTTTTATTTAATGTTTCTTGTGTTCGAACAAGAGCTTTCTTTTCTGGACAAAGAGTGCGTAAGAACCGTCTAAATGTTTTATATTTCCGAGCGCTTTCGGCTATACCTTTAGCCATTATCCAGGATGATTCGATTCTTCAGTTTAATTGACTCTCTGCGTTCTGTGTATGTCTCAGTGTGTGGTAGGGATGTTTTTAATTTCCGAATACGGTTAGCACATTGTGGCTTTGTTCGTAGTTAATATTGTTAAGAGTTGGCTTTTTCTTTTTTATTATTAAAGCTTCCATTATTTTTAGTCTTTTTTTTTTGCAGGTGGATGCAGTTAATATATTTGTGTTTTCTACTAATATGTTTCTAATGGAGTCTGGTAAATTTGTGTGTGTGTTTAAATGGGTTCTAATGGAGCTGTGATCAGATAGGTGTGACGTAAGACGTCTGGATAACCATGTATTAGGTTGGTGCAAAAATAATGTCGTTTTCTCACATATGTCACTTTTATACATGATTTCTGAATTAATTCATTGATATATATATGGTCATGTTATATATCATTTTGAAGCGCGTTTTTCGCTCTATCGAATCGTGTTATTCGTTACCGTTCTCAATCTTTTCATTCATTTTTTGTCGGCATGGACAAAATTCAAATCCGCACGATTTTCTTGTTCCAGTTCAAACTAGGCCGAAAAGCTGCCGAGACAGCTCGTGATATCAATGATGCGTTTGGCCCAAGATCCACTAACGAACGTGTGGCACAACGGTGGTTCAAGAAATTTCGCAATGGTGACGAGAGCCTCGAAGATGAAGACGGTCGCGGCCGGCCGACTGCGGTTGATAACGAACATTTGAAAGCCTTAATTGAAGCCGATCCTCGCAAAACCACACGAGAAGTTGCTGTTGAACTCGAGGTAGACCACTCAACAGTCGTTCGCCATTTAAAGCAAATAGGGAAGTCAAAAAAGTTGGATAAATGGGTGCTGCATGAATTGAACGATAATCAAAAAAATCGTCGTTTTGAGGTGTCTTCTACGCTTCTTCTGCGCAACAAAAACGACCCATTTCTCGAGCGGATTGTGACGTATGATGAGAAGTGGATCCTCTACGACAACCGGCGACGTTCGGCACAGTGGTTGGATGCTGGAGAAGCTCCACAACACTTCCCGAAGCCGAAATTGCACCAAAAAAAGGTTATGGTGACTGTTTGGTGGTCTGCGGCCGGTCTCATCCATCACAGCTTCTTGAATCCGGGCGAAACGATTACGGCGGAGAAGTACTGCCGACAAATTGACGAAATGCACCAGAAGCTCCAACGTATGTGCCCGAGATTGGTCAATATGAAGGGACCAATTCTCCTCCATGACAACGCTCGCCCGCTTGTTGCTCAACTGACCCTGCAGAAGCTGAACGAATTGGGCTACGAGACTCTGCCTCATCCGCCATATTCATCGGACCTCTCGCACACCGATTATCACTTTTTCAAGCATCTCGACAACTTCCTGCTGGAAAAATGCTTCAAAAGCCGAGATGATGCCGAATCGGCCTTTAATGACTTCATCGCTTCCAGAACTCCGGATTTCTATGCTAATGGGATAAATAAACTTGTTTCTCGTTGGCAAAAATGTGTCGATTCTAATGGTTCTTATTTCGATTAATAAAGTTTATTATGAAAGGAGTTATGATCTTTTGAAGTTGAACATCAAAAAACGACATTATTTTTGCACCAACCTAATAGTTGTGTAACCGATGTAATTGTTATGAGTCCGGTTTGATTTGGAACACAGTTTCTTTAAGGGGCATTTGATTAATGTTCGTTCTTTATAATTTTGAATTAGCTGGTGTGTTGTTATTTTTGAGGATAAGGTTAGCTGTCTTAAATTTTACAATATTTTAAATATTACAAATATATAAGCAGACAAACTTTTCTCCCAATCAATATTCTTTAGTGTAAGAATGGACCATTATATTGACCAATTGAGTTTTGATTAAGATTTTGTTTTAACAAGGTGATTGATTTGTTGCTTACACTTATTAGTTTTTATTTTAAGCTCATTTTTGCCACAGGCAGTTGTTATCAAGTGAGAATCGAGCTCATTTGTAATGATCCACTAGACCACTTTGGTTACCATTACGAATCGCTGTAAAATCTTCGTTGTAACACGAAGAACTTCTCAAAAGTTAATCGAGCAATAGGAGAGTGATTTCGAGTAATGTTTGACATGCTTGGCGAGACATGGGAAACGATGGATAATTTGTTAAATGAACAGACTGATCAATCTTGTGTTCCCTGACAGTTATTCCTCAGCCTTAAACAAAGTAGTTAATTAATTTTTTGTTGAATTTTAAAATAAACGAAAATTATATCCATTGGCCCTTCCGGGGTAGTTTCATCTGTGTTTGTGTACTCAGGTCATTGTAGCTTTGTAGCTTTTTGAATATTGCGCTTGATGGACGGTCAATACAACACTTTATTAAATAATCACACAAGCAGAGTTTCCTCAGGATAGGGTTTGAACATCTTTTTCAGTGCTAGAGAAATGTTATTATTTTAAAATATATATACATTGCGAATAAAAGTTGACAAAGACCTATGAGATTCTAATAAGCAATTAAACTTACTCTTAATGACGTTGCATTCTTTTAAAACGACGATTCTAAATAAAGGTTTTCTTTTGATGCTTTTAAACCATTAAAGTTTAACAGAACACTTTCAAGAATTCAAAATGGCTGAACCTGTACCGTGTGTAAAAGGAGACCTGCGTAAAAGTAATACTTTTTTTTTTTTTTTTTTTTAATACGCTAAAACTTGAATTAAATTATTCCCGATCAAAGAAAAAAAATTCACAATTAATGCAATAGATTTTTCTTCTTCCTCTTCAGAAAATCAAGTGTCCATCACAGACGATCCTGCTGGCAAATACAGTCCGAATTATCATAACAAAAAAAATAGAGGAGTTGATTCAGGTCATTTGTCTAACTCTGTTTTTTTTTTTGTTTTTTTTTTCCTGACTTCGTACGGGCCTTTTTTTTTTCTCTTGCAAATGTATATTTAGGCGTCGAGGAAATAACTGTATATTTCTCTCTCCTACCGTAATTTGCAGAATATTTTTTGCCTCAAAGTTCACCAACTTTGTCAAACAGTAAATAGAAAACGCGGCTGGATGCTGGCCAACAGTTTAGTCGGTAGTGACTGAATCTTTTCATGGCCATAAGGAAGATGTATATAAATACCGTATATCGTTAGAAATAGTTTCTTTCATACTGAGGTTGACACATTGAGTTACATATTTCAATCTGACCGACCAAATCCTGACTGCCTGCATTTTTTTAACCGGCCGTGCGATTATTAGCTGACCTCTCTTAGCGAATATTTAGAGTGTCGGGAGTTCGGTCTTCACTGTATATCTTGGAAATTGTGGTCATTTTCTAGACTAAGGCAAACTAAGTAAATATTTAATGAGATGCTTCACTGTGGTTAACAAGTCGAGTAGGTAATTAAATTTTCCTTTTCACTTTAACAAAGCTTCCTCTCCATTTATCATTTGTTACCAGAGCAGGATTGACATAGAGGGGGACCCTTAGACTAATGAAATTATGGATCCCTCCCTCAGACGTAGTCACCTTCTAACTCGCCTGCATCCTTCTTGAATATTTTTTACTCGTGATATATTTTAGCGATATTTATATAGGATGAAGTAAACTTAAATTGTAAGTTCTTCAAATAAATCTGAATAGCTGTCTCTTTTTAGTCAATTCAATCCAAGTAAGGCGATAATGCTACTAAGACGCAAGAGGCTACTGGGTGTGAAAATGAATGAGAATATTTAAAAAAGGAACCGGAAACCCAATTCTGAATAGAAAACCAGAGGTAAACCGCTATTCCTGTTCAAATGACCAAATGGAAAAATTGTTTGTTAATAAAAAATATTCTTTTAGAAATACCACTATTTTACTATTTATTGCAAACCAAATTGGTACCTATTTCAACACAACCGTAGTAATAAAAATACGGTTTATTTATAACCACCATTCTAACCAAGCTTGAGCAGACCCTAGTCTGCATCCTATACTAGTATACTATACTAGGATAACCTGGCTCTGTGTATTACATTTCGTTCCTTTTGTGCTAGCGAGAGCTATGGTACTCTAAACTAAACACTGAAACAAGGCTGTTTCATAGTCGTTGGTACTTTAATTTCCGCAAAAGGATTTTTGTCAGTCATTGTGACATTTTGTTGGATTTTTTCTGTTGTCGATTAAAGAAGACAAACAACTGTAAATGAGGAGGACACAGATTCCGATCATATGAATGTGAATTATATTTTTAAGTTCAATTTTTTATTAAGCATTTTACCCCAAGCAAGGTGGGAGTGCCACTAACACGCAAGAGGTTACAGAGAGTGAGAGCAAAAGTAAAGAGACGTGATAGAGGAAAGGATAAAGAGAAGGATGAGGAATTAGATCAGATCACCAGAAGATGTCGACTGGCATTACATTTGAATATTTGAACCCTATAACTATCAGGGAAGCAAGTAAGAGGAAGGGAGTTCCACAGATGGGAAGTGCAAGACATGAAACTATTGGAGTAGAAGAGACGGCTACATTTAACCGTTTCGACAGTGAAAGGGGGGGGACTGAGATGCTAACCTAGTAACACGATTAAATTCATGCTGTTTGGAAACCAGCGAAAATAGCTGGTCGGAACAGTTAGCATGGAAGTATTTTGTTAATTCCGAACAGTGTACTTGTTTTAATCGATATCATCCCATGCAAGGTAGTAAAGCCACTAACACGCAAAGGCGTTAGAGGGTATGGAAGAAATAGGGACAGAAACATTAATAATAAGCGGGAAAAAGAAAGAGTAATCAGGAGGTTCAGTAGAGAGCGATTGACATTGCGTTTAAATTTTTGCAGATTAAAGTTGGCTTGGAGCCAGAATGGAGTTTCACTAGCGAGAAGTGCGAGAAAAGAAACTGTTAGCATAGAATTTATGGCTACATCTATTGATGACCTTGACGCCAGTCTAGTACTGAAATTAAATTCAAAAAGTCTAGGTACCATAGCGAAGAGTGGGAATTGGTCAAAATTTTAAATATCACATGAATTAAATTTGAAAAAAAACTAGTGTTTCCATTGGAAAAACATTTGTTATCTTGGCAATAGGTTTTCATTAAAAACGAATGTTGTCATAAACATTGATTTGACTAAAAAAAAACTGTAATCTATGAGGCGTTCCATATAGCAAGTATATTAAGATAAGCTTAGCATAGTCTTATAATCTTCGTACTCCATTACCCAACTAGGTTGGGTACTGAAGTAGGAAGATTGACGCAACACTATCTTCCAAGTACAGAGAGACTTTCTGATTTGAACATCTAAATTTTGATCTATCAAGTGTGAAGCTAAATACATTTCGCGGGTATCAGTTTTATACTAGTCATATTGTAGATGGGAATGTTAATGCCTCATGTATTAAACAGTTATTGGTTTGAATAGGACGCCAACAGAGTTGTGTGCCTTTTTTCTTAAACGCTGAAGAGAAATCTCATTTCAAATACAAGCATGTGCCTTTTGACACTGTTTTAAGCGTATCTGATTTACCCACAAAGGTTGCACTCCCTCTGTCTATCATCATTTTTGCTAGCATGTCTGTAGATAACTTTCTGCAGGCGAAATTATTGTCCGTTTGATTAGCCTATTGGCTTTCATATAATTGAACCTCGTCAGCGTACATCGCCATTTTTTTTTTCTTGTCTTTTTATTTTTATTTTTATTATTTATGTTTATTCCCTAAGCCGTAACAACGCAATGAATTACGCCCCGGCTCATTTTTTCCCTTTCTCGTAATTTGTCTATTTTTTTTTTTTTTTCGTTTTTGCTTTTTTTTTCCATGCTCACATCGAATTCCCTCAGCTGTGATGCTTCTCAATTATCGTTTTCTGTCACTTCTCATAAAACCCGCTTATCCATAATACTTGTCTTTATTTACTCATACAGCTAATTTCACCGCAAAAAAAAAGATTTGTTTGAAAAATAATACAAATGGCTAGGACAAGTGCTGAAGAACCTAACCTTGCGGACCCTTATTGCTGTAATGAGTTCGACCCTCACCGTGTGGTCCACATGTGTGGCCGTGTACTATAATGACTTGCCTCGTGGATGAAGTAGTTTGAATCCACATTAAATATATAAGTAAAATGTTTGTCACTTAGCGGATTGGTGTTACCTTCAGCATCACAACTCCAGAGTTTCGTAGACGCACTCGTCCATCCAATCGTCAAATACATATATATATATATATATATATATATATATATATATATATATATATATATATATATATATATATATATATATAAAAGTTATGAAAAAATTGGTAATCCGTATTGGTAGTCCCAAGGAGGATGAAATCCTGAGAGCTCAATGTAAATCCAGAGCTAATATTTTAATATGTCAAGGTCTGGTCACTCCTCCTCCCCCAATACTAAGTATGATTGAGAGAGATATTAAATTAAACCCTCCTAAACTCTA